TTTAAAGCCTAAAACAATCGAACCTGGTATAATGCCTATAAAATGTACTCTAGAGGTCTAAATTTTCAAACCAAACATACTCAAACTAAAATAAAAACAAGTACCACTAATGGAAAAATAAACTTAAAATAAAGCATTTTCACAAAACTCTTCAAGCAAAGAGGTGATTTTGGAGGAAGACGAGCTCTACCAATGTCGATGCACTTTAAAAGAAGGCAGACAAGAACCTCTGACTAGACGAAGCTACTCGGGACACCAAATCAACTCTCCACATCGAGAGACAAAACACCTCGGAGCACCAGTGCTCAGGAAAGGATCCAATACAATTCGTTTTTCTTATTCCAAATTAACCAACGTAGCATAGCCACTCCTTCACACATACGAAACACCGCTATCAGATTAGGGCTCTCGTTAATTTGTGTTTTTTTACTCCAGGGGGCGTCTGGGAGAGGGAAGCTAGGGGGCCTGGAGTAATTGAGGAAACGGTTCAGCCCAGCTAGTCGCTGACTCACTCTCCCTTACGGGAGGTCTCGCGTTCGAAACTCAAATCGGATTAGGGCTCTTTATATGAATATTAAATAATATAAATATTAATTAGATAATATGAATAGATAAGAGAGTGTAGTAGTGTAGCTTGTAGATTGAGGAAGATGAGATATTGAGACAGTTGAAGTGTATGAAAAATGAGAAGAATGATAAGTATTTATAATTCGATTTTTACCCCCACCCCACCACCATCCTTAACAGTCATAATAGTTGTTGGGGTTAAACCGTCTTGTACCGCTCAAAATTTTGAACTCAAGACTGGGTCCGTTATCGACCGAGAATTGGAAACTACCCTATCAAAAGAACAATATTCACCAGGCCGGTCTCGGTCTAGGACCGATGAGCGGTCCACTCCTAGCGAAATTTAAGTGTGGGCTTATTTTCATTTTTTCGATCATGCTTTCAAAAGTATTTAGTGTAATAAATTATGTAAAAGGGGCATGACAATGACAAATTTATGTAAGGTAAGCCTCACATTTCAATAAAGTAGCACAAAAAGTATCAACTAAAAGTAAAAACTATACATTTCACTTGAAATCATTTCTTAAATAAAACTGTGAAGTGAAATCATCATTCAAAATCATTTTTTCTAGGAATTCATGTTGAAAAGACCTACTCTAAGCATGCATAAGTAAATAATATCGGGCTTAAAAATTCTCATTTTTCCGAGCCTAGGGCGGTCACACTCATTGCACCCCCTTAGGGCCACCCCTTTACAAACCAACATAAACAATTAGATTTAGCCATAAAAATATACCAATTGTATTAACAAAAGTAATTTAGAATTTCTTATCCTAAACATACAATTTTTATTGTGCTTATTTTATGATATATCAATGCAGATTTATTTTAAACATTGTATTCATTTCAAATATAACACAAAATTCATTTCAATATTTAACATGTAATACACACAATACAACTAAATCAGCTATGTTTACTTATTAATATAAAAAATATCTTTGGAAACATGCAAGTTCTTTAAACATAAACTCAAAGTACAATAAAAAAACATTTAATATTTTTGATAGATAAATGCAGAAAAATATTAGAAATATTTACTCAAAACAAGAATTATTATTTCAAACAATCATAAATATGTCAACTTTTATACAAGTGCAACAAGAAATAAAAGTTTCCCTAAAAAAGAATGAGTATTAGCTTTGGAATTTTTCGAACCATTGGTGAAAATTCTATATTTATGAGTCAATCATTAAACAACTTGCAATATTTTTAGTGAAGAGGGAGAGATATTTGTAATCAAATATTCATTTTTTGGAATTCACAATAGTCAATTTTAGATATAAAATAAGAACATTGATATTAAAAACAATCAATGGAAGGAGATCGATGAGTAAAAGAATATGTAATATATAAAATAGTCCCTCCATCCTGTATTTAAGTTCACACTTTGATTTCACGAAGGCAGAAAGTGACACACATAACAACCATAATAGTCACAGGCAACAACAACACTAGCAAAAGTTGTCAATAGAAAAGCGAAGCAGAATAATAGAGATATTGTTAGGTGAAGCAACAAATGGAAAACTTCAGAGGGGAACAACAAAAATGTAGCAAATGAGTTCAACACCTCAACAAGAACTGCACACAAGCTATGGGTGAAAGCAAAAGTGCAAATGCAGTTTGGACAACCATAGATGTGCATAGCAAATGAGTAGGCAATGTAAGACAAAAAAGAGTTGCATTTGACTTGAACAAAATGTCACAAATCTCTTATCATCAAAGGAAAAATATGAGGTCGTTGGCATATGCTATGAAAGTGTCAAAGTCAATTGTAATTTCAAGACAAACAAATAAATGACATTCTAATTTCATGAAGCCGGCCTCTTCTGACAGAAAAAGGAATGCTCAAAAGGTTAGAATTATGCCGAACTCACATGTTCCTCATTCACTTCCCTTTTCCCACACTTTTCATGATTTCTATGACCATGCACACATAGATGAGAAGTGATTATGCTTATCAAAAGAAACAACATCATTGTATGCCTCCTTAACAAAAGAGGACCTCTACAGAACAACACAATCCAAAAAATTCATGCCAAAAGTATTGTTTATTGTTGCAGTAGGTAGGCCTAGAATAGGTAATTTGGGGAGGTATAACGAGATCGAAAATCGATATACTTCCATTCACTTATGAAGACACATCTAAGAGAGTAAGCAAGAATATGCTAGACGAGACCTGGGAGACGAAAGCACGCAACATTAAGTGTGACTAGACTGACAATTAAAGACATAATGTTAATCAAAATTCTGCCATCAATTAAAGAGAAGTGGCCGAATGCAGGAAAAAAAAAAAAGTCATTATACAACAAGATAATGGTAGACCACATAAATAGGTAAGTGATCTACATTTTATAAAAAGAGGAACAAAAGATAGATGGAATATTGAATTGCGTGTAAGCCACCAAATAGCCTAGATTTAAATGTGTTGGATTTAGGTGTTCTCAGGGCTATTGATTCTCTGAAAGATCATGAATCCCCAAAAATCTATCAACGATTTAATAGAATGAGTACAAACTTCATTCAATGAGCTCACAACTCAAACCTTAATTAAAATTTTCTTAAGGTATCAATATGTAATGGGGGGATTTTAAAGCACAATGGTGGCAATAACTTCAAACTCAAATATTTTGGCAAGGACAGATTGGAAAGGCAGGGGTTGTTTCGCAAAAATGTCTAGATTAGTGCAGAAGTGTATAACATAGTTAAAGCGTACATGGAAGGATACATGGCAACAAACATAAAAGGGACAAACAGTGTGGTGGCAAGGACAAAGTTGATAGATGAAAATTATCAAGACCTTCATCTCTCAATTGTCTATGTGAAACAAACAGTTTAATGTTTTGCTATATTTTGTATGTACACACTGTTTATAACACTTTGTTTAGCATTAGGCGTACAATTCTTTTTTTGTACTTCACACTTATGAAAGTACAATTTTTATGTTATTCCTTTTGCAAATGTACACTAATTATTGTAAGCACGTGCTACTGAAGTGAATGCAACTCATATGGCGTTTTAAAGTTCCATAGTATTCTATAACTTGACCCCGAACACATTTCATAGATGGGTCGCATAAGTTCATAATCACATATCACAATAGGCAAACCACACAAGTTCATAATCACATATTGAGGGACCACACAGATTCAGACTAAAGGTAAATCACACAAATTCAACCATTACATAGGCACCACATAGATTCACAATCACGATTAAGCTCAATGCCCCTAATAATAATTAGTTTTCACATCATACATTACATTGTAGGCAATTCACACACATTCAATCATCACACTAGGCAAAACACATTCATAGCATGCAACAAGTAAACAACACAAATATAAATATAGAAAAAGAGACTACTACCCTGAGAAGCAAGCCCTTCTAGATGGAGGACCGCCTCGATATAGGTCTTCTCCTTCCCCCAAATCATCATTTCTTCCTCCAAACCATCCAGTCCTTCATACGTGTCAGTGACAGTGGCGGATTTAAGATTTAAGTTTTGAGTGTTCATTTTTCTATAATTAAAATGTGAAAAGATAATAATTAACTATACTAAATTTATACATGTATACTAACATATATTTCAAAATTCTAAGTGTTCATGTGAACACCTTTGAGCTAAGGTGGCTTTGCCACTGGTAAGTGATTAAGTTCCGTTCAGAGGAATAATTGCCAAACCAAATGATGGTTGGTGATGAGTATGCTTGTACAGGTCGTACATGTTGAAAATCTAGAGTTCATAAACATTTTTTTTTCGGGGGGGGGGGGGGGGGATTAAGGGTTGCATACAAACTTGCTTGTATTTGCAAATTTGAAATTCGAAAGGACTTCACACTTTCCAAATCTAAAATACATGGGAGACAATCTGAGTACTAAATCGGTGAATTCACATTTCTTGGATTTCCGAAGTGAGTAGCCTTGATCCGGCGAGAGGCGGATTTTTCATCCATTCCACTGGAGATTGCTATTAAAGGACACATGTGAAGGGGCAACTAAGGAGGAGACAAAGGTAAGATGAGACAGCCAGAGATGACAAGAGAAGGGCTGAGATAAGACATGAGACTAAGACAGGATAGATGGTCACAAAATAGACAGATGAAGGAGGGCAAGTAGATGTGGACCATAGATGTTTTCTTTTGGACTGAAATTTACTGGTCTGGTCTGGTCTGCGACTGAAAACAGTCCAAAAATAGATATGTGAATTTTAATACTACGTATGAGATATTCTAAAAGAGAAAGTGAAAACTTGAATAGAAGACGGAAGGAGTATAAAAATAGGCTCAAATTTGAGAAAATACAAAGGAGTATACAAAGGAGTATCTAGACATACCTGGACACCGGGTGCAAAAATACACAATATACTTGTACACCTGGGCATATGGTATAATTTGTCATGATTTCGCCTATCAGAAAGGAAGAGAGGCATTGGGATGTAGAAAGGGGAATAGAAGATTTTGTACAACTTATTCAACGTTATCAAGAGTCCGTCACACGCCAAGCTCTGGCTTGTGCATGTGGGAAAAATGTTGGAACACTTGCAAATTTCTTAAGGAGCATACAAATAATTCTTATTCAGCGGTGGACAATATATACATCGCATCTGTACCCAAATCACTAATCAACCCGGGACTTTATTGCAGCTAAGAACAGATCAAACAACAAACAAACCAGCAACTACTTCCGCAAGATATTTCCTTTTTTCTTGGCGAATAACTAATCAGTACAACCATTCGATCCTTCAGCGCAGCGTACCGTCTTTCTCTTCCGTAGAGTGTTGAACAGTCAGTCAGTGCTCCTTGGATGCATCTGCTTCTTCGGTTTTCGCAAATCTTCCGCGGATCCTTGGTTGATTGTCTGCCAATGCCTTCCTGCATGCATACTGCACATAAACAAGAACAAGACATCGGTTATCAAAGATTTATTAAGATGACAAACAATGATTCTCTCACATGACTCAACTTAATACTTGCTAAGATATAGAATTTGATCCTAAAAGGTCATTCTACCAGATCGTGGCTCGTTAGACCTACTGATCTTGAAATTTGCATGCTCGTTATTGAAACTTATCAGAATCAAGTTACTCATTTTGTTTTAGAGGCTCTAGTACCATATTAAACCATCATTTCCATCCTAAAGTATACCATGTTAAGATATGATATACTCCCTCCGTTCTCTAATACATGTCTCTCTTTCCATTTTGGGATGTTCTCTAATACATGTCTCCCTTTCCATTTTTAGAAAGTTTTTTCAATAAATATACCTATATACCCCCTCATTCTTTTTCCTACTTTTTCATTCTCTTTCCTACTTTTTCCTTTACACACAATCCACTACACCTTTTATTCTACCCCTATTAATTTCTTCTTAAATCTTGTGCCAAATGCTATACTCCCATCTATTAGAGAACGGAGGGAGTATAAGACTTGAGAATTGAGACTCCCGTAGGAAGAGTGGTCCAAAGTCTCGTGACTTTACATTTTGGGGATTTGACATAAACATTACTAAAGGAAACAAAAATAATTACTCTTTAAGTTTTTCAAAAAATGACTAGTTGGCTACACAAGTAACTTTTATTATGTCAATACCATTACAAACCGCTGTCATCACTACTCCAATCTCAGTGTCACCAACACAGCCCCTCACGTGTCATTACAGCTGGAATGACTTAACACTTAACAGCATTGGTTTTAGGAAAGATTAAAATTCTAGGTGTAACATTTTGACTTGACAGCATTGGTTTTAGAAGAGAGTTTTGCTTGGCAGAAAGAAAAGCTTACCTTGATTTTCCTGCCGAAATTCCTCTTGGCCTTCTTGATCCTGTATCTCGATAGCTTCTCCTTTCGTGCTTCAGAAATGGAACTGCATAGTCCCAGCGGAGAGTGGATGAGGTTTACGTTACCGTTACCAAGAGTCTGTCAATAAAACTCATTATCATCAATCACGCTGCCCCATCCTGTTGTAAACACGTCTATACATTTCTCAGATTGCAGACTTCATCACCGAGCCAAGAAATGCTCATTGCTCAGTGTCAGAGGAATTTACTCGCGGCTGGCGGTTAGAACTATGAACATATGAAAATGATGGTATGCCAAAGTAATGTCAACGTAAAAAAACGCATCACATACCTTTCATGCTTTTCAGCACTCTTTAAAGGTTATGTATTTCATGGTTATCTAAGCATATGATCATTGTGTGCTACGTTTTAAGTCATATGATTAATGTCATGTAGCTTTAGCAGGCATCTGCTGTGCAGTCACACTAATGCATCAACTACCGGCTTCTTCCCCACCCTAGCTAAGTTAACAAATAGATCTGCAAAAAATGGCTTCCTGTGTTCTTTTCTAGAATTTCGTTGGGGTTCGTTTCGATAAGAAAAAATATTAGGGAAAGAAAATATGAAGTGAACATAGATGAAAGTTGTGAGGAACTAACATGTTGGCGAAAAAAGATATGCAGAGTACTAAAACAGTAAAACTCCGAATATGATTTTAGAAAGGAAAAGTTAAGCTTGACCTTTATGTCTCCTTCACTGAGTGATCTTCTCATCCCATAAACAGCACTAAACTCCATTCGTGGAAAATCGAAGATTTTTCCAGTAAGTGGAGTAGTCTCTTGTACCCAATCCACCAAGGTGTTTAGAGACTCGGAACTAGCACTCTTCTGAAGTAAAGATCCATGAGAATCCAGGTTCTCTTCTGATGTCATCTTTTCACCAGCCTCAGTGGTGGTGGGATCAAGAACATGAGAGAGTGGTAGAATTTCTATTCCATCTTTGGCCAGTAGATCTTTCTTGCACTCATAGAAAACCTCACTGAGGATCTGCCCGTTCTCGAATGATGATTCAATAATATCTGAGACCTCGAGGCCTTGTGGGGAGATGACATCATCTGCACACGAAATCAATGAAATAGCAGCTGTCATGGGATCAAGATCCAACAGCTCTTCTTCAATAATTGGTTCTGGCGCCTTGAAGAGATCCCCTTCTTCTCCAAGGTCATACTCTGATATTGAAGATGTCTGTTACATGCATGCATCATATTAGGATTAAAAAAACAAGTTTATGGAGACATAAACAACATTCTAAGAGCATTTTTAATGTAACGAGAATACCTTTTATCATAATCACATGGTTGTAAATGAGAACTTCTAATCTCCATCTTTTATTTTAATATCAACAACTAATATTGACAAAGTGTCATTTTATGATTGTTTTAGAGTAATTGCAAACAAGTTGAAAATGCTGATAATAACAAAAAAGACACCATATAAGTGTTAACCATGGATTTAAAATAAAACAAAAGATGCATATTACAAGTTCAATGTGTTTCCTAGAAAAATCTATGAATATATATAGTTATATACATATATAAAAAAAGACCGTGTGAGAAATAAATATTTATTTCTCACTAGTGAATTATAACTTATAGTAACAAAAATATAACTTTTAACAGCAAAGTATAACATCCTATGGTTTTTTTACTATAAAAATTTTGTTACTATACGTTATATTTCACGTCTGAGAACTTCTCAGATCATCTCCCTATATAAACACACACACCCACATAACAAATGAATGGAATTTGTATTCTAATTTTATTCTCGAAACATTATGGGAGCCCCATGAATAGCTTCCCTGGAAATACAGACTGTGGCCATCCCTAGATAAGGAGAGAGATTAGAAGGCATACAAAGATTCTTGCAAGTAGTTACCATTTGAGAAAAGTATGACTGCCAAATGATTAGTTTATTTTAATTCAAAATTTTAAAGATTACACCAATTATTCTGTAAAATTCTTTGTCTAGCATTCAATAGATTCCTTTTTATCAAAAGTCACATCATGTTAATTACTGATAAAGGAACCCATATATTTAGGGTCGGTTTGGTAACCTCTTTTAGCTTAACTCTGCCGATCAAAAGAATAAGTAGCCTTCGATTCATACCCATTAGGCTGAAATGGATGTTATCAAAATTTTCCTTGAAAAAAACTCAGCAAGTATAGACCTTTAGTCATTTCAAACAAATAACACTCATCAAACATGACATGTGAAGGAAAAGAGAAGTGGACAAATTTTAGCTACTTGTGTTATTAAAGTTAGCAGAAGCTTTATCCACCAAACAGTCAAATTGCAGCAGGATATTTTTTTTATATTAAAAGAAGCTAGCAAGAAAGAGGTTGTTATTCCCACTTAATAAGCCTCCCTATCAATGCCAACAAGAAAGGGCCCCCTCACTGTAGCGTTTCTTTTTCCCAACCTTTTAATCAGTAGTCATTACATATCTTTACTGTGAAAAATGTGGATCCATGGCAGAAAAACAAAGAAAAATCAAAAGAAATAAAACCATCTGCCATTAACATGCAGATCTACCACATAAATGAAACTCAGCTGCCTTCTTTATGTATCCTACATAAAGAAATTTATGTGGGTATTTAGAACTAATAAAGACTTGAACTTTTCTTTCTCTTTCCCCAAAATTTTCATCCATAAACAACAAACTGAAATAAAGCTCACAGAAATGGGAAGCAAAAGATCACATCAAATCAAGAGAATTGAAGTTCAAATCACCAGAATAAAGATATTGATCAGAGAATAAAACCTAAGAATAAGAAGATATTGTAAAAGGAAATCCCCAATATTGAAAGAGAAATTAGTAACCATTGAAGCATTGGGTCTGTGAGAGACATAGAGCTCTTGAAGGTGTGGAGCTTCTTGAGAAAAGCTCTGGAAGTAATAAGGGAACAGTAGCCCACTCTCAGTATACATTTCTTTTCTTCCTCTCTCCAATCTTCTTTCCCTGTTTCCTTTTATGTCTCTCTATCTGTGTCAAGATGTACTACTGATTTAGTGAAGGGGGTTGAATGAGGGAGAGTAGCAATGATGGCGCAAAGGACTTCTTATAGGGGTCAAGGTGAGCTATAGAACAGACAGAACCGAAGTAGAGAGCGAAGCCTCAGGAACAGCAAACAAAAAATAAAAGGAGTGATAGAATTCGATTTTGGTTGGTTCTTGATTTGTTGGGATTTCTTCTATTCATTGATGAATGAATGACAAGAATACAAATTCTTCTAATATAGAGTAATTAAGAGCTGATTTTGACAAGGCTTTCAAATTAAAGAGGCGGATTGATAACACTATTTTTCGGCTTATCAAGCTAGCATACTTTTTTATCAAACACGTAACTTTTAAAGTAAGATTGGAATTACTTTGCTGTCTGTATTGACTGAAATTACTGTTGATGACCATTTTAACTATTTTTACATATGATTTTTTCACTATTTTATTAAGGGAAAGTTCCCGAAATAGGACTAAAACGGTTTGAAATTTCCAAAATAGGACTGTCATGATTTTTTATTCCCAAATAGGAGTAATTACCGCCAAGTTTGGAAAATACTGCCATGTTTAAAGTCTGGTACTACCAAAATATGGCAGTAATTAGTCTTATTTTGGGAATAAAAACATGACAACCCAATTTTGGAAATTTCAAACATTTTTAGTCATATTTCGGGTAATATTCTCTTTTATTAATAAAAATATATTTAATTTTTTTTTAAACAACAGGATTAACCAATACAACCACTTCAGCCAGAATTTCATAAATTTCATCAGAATCAGCTAAATCAGCCGATTTCCGTGTTACCAAACGGGCTCTAAAAGCACATATTATAAATCCAAAAAAATAAATGGTACAATACTTCATTAAAAATTTAATACAACGATATTTTTGCAGATTTAAAGCACCAAACTCACTTGTGAAATATAAATTCGGCGCATTAGTTCCTTGTGATTTATAATAGGAAAAATGCATATAGGGGTGGGATCACATACAAACTAGTTCTCTCATGCTAACCTACAAACTGTCATAAACTGTGCATCTTTACATTATTTGTACTGCATATTGAAGTTCAAAGTGTTGAATATTATTTGTATTGCATATTGAAGTTCAAAGTGCTGCATATTATTTGTATTGCATATTAAAGTTCACAGTGTGCATCTTTAGATTATTTGTACTGCATATTAATGTTCAAAGTGTTGCATATTATGGAGTTTGTAGGTTAGTATTTTAAGCATGGTTTGTATTTGATCTCTTACCTATGCAGGGGTGAGATCACATACTAACCATTCCTCCCATGCTAACCTACAAACTATCAAAAACGGTGCATCTTTACATTATTTGTACTGCATATTGAAGTTCAAAGTGTTGCATATTATTTGTACTGCATATTAAAGTTCAAAGTTTTGCATATTGTTTTTATTGCATATTGAAATTCACAGTGTGCATCTTTACATTATTTGTACTGCATATTGAAGTTCAATGTGTTGCATATTATTGAGTTAGTAAGTTAGTATTTTAAGCATGGTTAGTATGTGATCTCTTATCTATATATATAAGAGATAAGAGATCACATACATCTAAATAATGTAAAGATGCACCGTTTTTGATAGTTTGTAGGTTAGCATGGGAGGAATGGTTAGTATGTGATCTCACCCATATATATATATATATATATATATATATATATATATACATATATATATATATATATACACACAGGGGTGAGATCACATACAAACTAGTCCTCACAGTGTGCATCTTTACATTATTTGTACTGCATATTGAAGTTCAATGTGTTGCATATTATTTGTATTGCATATTGAGGTTCAAAGTGTTGCATATTAATTCTATTGCATATTGAAGTTCACAGCATGCATCTTTACGTTATTTGTACTGCATATTGAAGTTCAAAGTATTGCATATTATTGAATTTGTAGGTTAGTATTTTAAACATGGTTTGTATTTGATCTCTTGTCTATATATATATATATATATATATATATATATATATATGGGTGAAATCACATTCATACTAGTCCTCTCATGCTAACCTACAAACTGTCACAAATCGTGCATCTTTACATTATTTGTACTGCAAATTGAAGTTCAAAGTGTTGTATATTATTTGTATTGCATATTGAAGTTCAAAGTGTTGCATATCATTTGTATTGCATATTGAAGTTCACAGAGTGAATCTTTATATTATTTGTACTGCATGATCTCTCTCTCTAGAGAGAAGAGAGAGTTCGGCGCTATAGAAGTTATTTTCTTTTTCTTTGCTCTAGACTTATTTGTATTGCATATTGAAGTTCAAAGTGTTGCATATCATTTGTATTGCATATTGAAGATCACAAAGTGAATCTTTATATTATTTGTACTGCATATATATTGAAGTTCAAAGTGTTGCATATTATTGAGTTTGTAAGTTAGTATTTTAAGCATGGTTTGTATTTGATCCCTTATCTATATAAGAATCTCTTTTATTTTTGTTTATTTTTATTTTATTTTTTTCTCCAGGGGGCGTCTGGGGGGAGGGGAGCTGGGGGTAGCCTGGAGTAATCTAGGTTGAAACTCACTACATTGAGTTTCGAACCCGAGACCTCCCGTAAGGGAGAGTGAGTCGGCGACCAGCTGGGCTGGACCGCTTCCTCGATCTTATATATATATATATATATATATATATATATATATATATAGAGGAATGCTCCTGTCCAGACGTCCGGACAGGAGCCGCCGTCCGGCCGGCGGCGTTTGGCCGCCTTCCCGGTGGAATTTTTTGATGAAATTTTTATGGCATGTTCTCCATCAAGTCTAGTTTATCCACAAAAAAATTCAGCCAAAAACTCAATCGGGAAGGTCGTCAAATGATTTTTGCAAGTTAACTGGTCCGGAAAATACATATTCCGGACCAGTTAACTTGCAAAAATCATTTGACGACCTTCCCGATTGAGTTTTTGGCGGATTTTTTTTGTGGATAAACTAGACTTGATGGAGAACATGCCATAAAAATTTCATCAAAAAATTCCACCGGGAAGGCGTCCAAACGCCGCCGGCCGGACGGCGGCTCCTGTCCGGACGTCTGGACAGGATCTTTTCTATATATATATATATATATATATATATATATATATATATATATATATACATATATAGGGGAAAGATCAAGTACAAATTGTGCTTATTGTGCAAATGTTTGTACGATGCACCTTGACGTTATTTGCATTGCATATTGAGGTTCAAAGTGTTGCATATTATAGTCATAAAATAGCAGTTGCATATTAACGTTCAACGAGTTGCACCCTAAAAAAGTTGGGGTTTATTACAAAAATGTCACCTTTCCTTTATATCCTTTAGATCAATTCATCAGATGGTCAAGATGAGTTTGTAGTTTGTAAATTAAGCAGACTTTGTATTTGATCTCTATTCTATGTGTATACACACACACACACACACAAAAATGATCATGTCCGAACGTTCGGACAGGATCCTCCGTCCGAACATCCCCGTTTGGGGCCCTTCCCGGTGGCATTTTTTGATGTAATTTTTTGACCATGTTCCTCATCAAGTCTAGTTTGTCCATACCAAATTTCAGCTCACAATTCGATTGGGAAGGCATTCAAATCATTTTTTGAAGTTGACTGCGTTTTTATATGTATATTTTGACGCAGTCAACTTCAAAAAATCATTTGAATGCCTTCCCGATCGAATTTTGAGCTGAAATTTGGTATGGACAATTTAGACTTGATGAGGAACATGCTCAAAAAATTTCATCAACAAATTCCACCGGGAAGGGCCCCAAACGTCCATGTTCGGACGGTGTTCGGACCAGGAATGTTCGGACCTGAACATTCCTCTCTCTCTCTCTCTCTATATATATATGTGTGTGTGTGTGTGTGTGTATATATATATATATATATATATATATATATATATACCCTTGTAATATGAATATGAGAACAAATATATCTATGTTTTATTTTTTTGAATAAATATACCCCTGAAGTTTATGTGGATGTGCATATATACCCTGAACTTTCAAAGGTTGCAAAAATATGTCCCATGTTCCTATAAAAGAGCAAATTTACTCATATTGACTTCAATTAAATAAAATAAATATTTTAAAAACACTAAAAATAAATTCTAAATTTGAAATTGAAATAAAAAAGAGTTAAAAATAAAGATTTATTTTTATGTTAAAATATTAACTCTTTAATTTTAAATTGCACAATTATTATTTTTCCATTAGAAATGAAATACTTCAAATTCATAAATATTAATTTTAGTTTTTTTCGAACTTTTGAACACATTGCTACAACTTTTGAAATAAAATTATTTGATATTGTTTGACCTTAATGCACTATTTTATGATTTTGAAAACTATTTGTCATCATACAAAATATGTAATTTTATAGTGTAAAATACAAAATATGTAATTTTATAGTGCAAAGAAAAAGAAAATAACTTCTATAGCGCCGAACTCTCTCTTCTCTCTAGAGAGGGAGAGGAACCCTAGCGACCGTCTCCCCTCTTTGTAGGGGGTGAGATTTTCCGCCACCCCTATAATATGGGATTGGAGCGGTAGATTATACTGATTCTAAGTGTTTCAACGCTTGGGGGTTGCAATTACGTCGAAGGAGATAGCGATGGCGGATGAATGAGGTGCGATTGGGAGGTTGTATCGAGGTTGGATCGTGAAGTCTTGGTCGGCCATTTCGACGGTGGTGGAGTTGGTAGCCACCCATATTCCAAGAGCTCGTCCTTCTCCAGAACCACCTCCATACTAGGAAGAGTTTTGTGGAAAGATTTTATTTCACTATTATTTTCTATTTCGTTGCAATTATTTTCTCTTTGTGGAAAGATTTTGTTTGAATGTTTGGATTTTTGGAATTCTTTTGATAGGCAGAGTTTCGGTTCTGGTCGTTTTAGGCCTAAATTTACCCGTTTCAGGTTTAGCGAGTCGTGTTGCTTTGTATGAGGTGACTAACTCTAAGTCTACTCCTAGGGTTCACGATTGGATATGTAAATTTTGTCTAAAGGTTGTCTTGTATGTGTTCTTGATTTTAATATAATGGCCGCTCTTTTATGATAACAAAAGAATACGAAAAATTAATGATTTTTTACATTGCATCGCACATATTAGCACTTTTCTAAAAGAATCTTAAATCATAGTAAAGTTTTGAAATAATATTTTATACTAACAATATTATATTGTGATAT